TCTTACACTCAATTTTGAATTTGTAATTTTACATTCTCCTTCCTAGAATGAGTTTCCCAAATAGTTGTGAGCCTCAGGCCTCAGCAAACCTGTACCTATCTCCAGTGTGTTTTAGAAGATAGGTGATTCAGTGGCACTAAGATTAGTGTTTGCAGGCAGCGAGGAAGAGAGGATGAGGGAAGGGGAACAAGGATGACGAAGATTTCAAATCTATTAGGTTGATGCATAAGTTTGCAGCGTGTTTTTGGTGTGGCAACACTGCAGTGTTGGGAGTTTGCCATTTGTCATTTGGAGTGACCATGTTGTGTTTGGGAATGCACCTTGCATTTTGCATATTTGAGGAAAGTTAGTGCTATTTGTGAACTAACAAAAATGGAGTGTCAAGTGGAAAAATAAGGAACACTTCAGACTTGTTCTTCTGTTTGAGTTTAACAGGAGTAAAGGCAGTGGAGGTGGCTCAGAATCTTTTTGCCATGTACAGGGAGAATGCCCTGGGGGACAGCATGGCAAGAAAATCATTTTGCCATTTCAAAGAGCACCAGTTTGACCTGAATGATTCACCATGTTCAGGAAGACTATCGGGCTTTGATGAAGGCCACTGAAACACTTTCATCCACAATGATTCATGTCAGTCAATCTGAGAAATGGCCAATGTGATAAACTGACGAGTCAACAATCATGGGACGTTTGCATTCCATGGACAAGTGGAAAAACGCTATGAACTTATGCATCAACCCAATAATTTCAATAAAAGTTAGATAGCTACATCTATTCTTCAGGTGGAAGAAACCAGAAGTCTCAACCCCTGCCTTTCTTCAATGTCCCTATCCAATCTATCATTAAGTCCTGTATCCTCTATGACTTCTATGATATTGTAATTCTCTCATATTTTTTTCCTCCTATGAGTAATAGAACTCTCTAATGTAGCCAAGGACATGACTACCTTGAACAAAGACTGTATTTTTCAGCTTCCCTTGCAGTTAAATGTGGGCATAAGACTGAATTTTGGACGTGTAGAGTGTCCCTAGGGTATCCTTAAATGAAAGCTATGTCTCATTCTCCCTTCCTGCTAGCAGGAATCTGAATGTGAAGTAGACATCTTGGATCATGAGGTGACCTTAGAATTGGGGGCCGCAGATGACAGAGCAAAGTAAAAGAAGTCTGGGTCCCTTGCAATGTGGAGCACTGTACTGGCCCTGCATTACCTACTTCTGGACTTTCACGTGGGAAAGAAATAAACTTTTATGGTGATTAAGATACTGTTATTGTTGGTTTTTGGTCACAGATAAAACCATTTCTAACTAATAATACACTTTGCTGCAAGTCCTCATCACTTTCTTAATCAGAATTAGCAATATTTCTTGTCTGGCCTCTTGAAAGAACCTATTAATTGATATTCCCATATTCACTTATATCTGCCTCAACCTCCTTCTAATTAGCTTTTTATATAACTGTCAAAGTCATTGTTACCAAATCCAAATAGAATGTCACCACCCCTCCTTCATTTAGTTACATTGGCAGTTTCTCATTGCGCCTAGTGGAAATTTTATTTTTTTTGAGTTGGAGTCTCACTGTGTTGCCCAGGCTGGAGTGCAGTGGCACACTTATGGGTGCCACAGCCTCTACCTGCTGGGCTCAGGAGATCCTTCCACCTAAGCCTTCCAAGTAGCTGGAACTACGGGTGTGTGCCACCACGCCTGGCTAATTTTTTGATTTATTGTAGAGATGAGGTCTCGCCGAGTTGCCCAGCTGGTCTTGAGCCCCTGGACTCTAGTAATCCTCTCACCTCTGCCTTCCAAAGTTCGGGGATTACAGGTGTCAGCCACCGCTCACAGCTCTTAGTGTAAATTTAATAGCTAAAATGGCTTGACTCCTGTCTGGGACCTGCCTGTCTCTCAGTCTTCATCTCACATCATGTTCTTTCTTTCCATGCTTTAGCTGCACTGGTCTTTCAGTTTCTCCAGTATGTTGTGATTTCTCCCACCTCAGCAGCCTTTCTTTGCTTTCATTGTACTGTCACTTCAGCGCTAAATGCTCTTCCTCCCTCCTGCTCACTTGCCTAGTAAACCTCCCTCCATGAGCTCTCACCTCGATTGTTTGTTCTCTAGGGAAGCCCTTATCTTTCCTTGATCTACCTGATATCCACCTTGTGTCCCCATTATATCTTCTCATAGCTGTCTCTCTTTTTAGTAGCGCTTGACATAATTCTGCCTTTACATTTTGTTCAAGCTTCTTTGGTTAATGTTTATCTTTTCCATTAGATGATAAGCTGTATTAGAACAGTGGTGTGTCATTTTTTGTTTATTATTGTATTTCTAATGCCTTTTATAGTTTCTGACACAGGTCCAATACTCGATAAATATTTTCTGAATGAGTAAATGAGAGCAAAGTAGAAGTCACATCATGTAGAAGTGGATATGCCAAACAATGATATTGAAAACTTTGTTCTCAAGGAAATATAACATGACAAGGATTTTCAACAGTGGAGTGAAATATGCTATGGAAAAATCATTTTTGCCAGCACTGTGCAGAATGCATTGGAAAGAGTCTATGTTGGAACTAGAGGGACAGGTTGCAGTGGCCACAGCAGATAGCTAAGTGAGAAATGATAAGGGCTTGAGTTCAGTTTGTGTTAATTCCTGTTCTTTCAGTTAGTGTAAGTCAGGTTGGGTCTCAGTTTTCTCCACTACTAGTTTGGTATTTGGCTTTCATGGCGTGGTTAACAAATTGTCCTTATTTATCATTCTAGTATATTGCTGCTATTTTATTTCCTGTTCTTGTTTTTGTTGATTTAAATTTTTCTATTTTTAATCTCTTAGTGGAGTTTTGTTGATTTACATTTTTATATTTTGAATCTTTTTAGTGGCATTTGAGGAGGGAGCAAAATTAAATGTGTTTGTTTAATGCCACTTTAACTTGGAACCTCCTACATTTTTGCTTCATTATAAAATTTTTTTGTTTTGTTGCAATAAAATTGCCTTTCAGATTGGCCAAGATTTTTGTTAAGTGACAATATCAAATAATGACGACTGGACATGGTGGCTCAAGCCTGTAATCCCAGCACTTTGGGAGGCTGAGGCGAGAGGATTACCTAAGTGCAGGGGTTTGAGATCAGCCTGGGAAACTTGGTGATACCTTGTCTCTACAATAAATCAAAAAATTAGCTGAGTGTGGTGGCATGCACCTGTAGTTCCAGCTACTTGGAAGGCTGCAGGTCGAGGCTGCAGTGGCCGTGAGTGTGCTACTGCACTCCAGCCTGGGCGACAGAATGAGACTCCAACTCAAAAAACAAAAAGGCAAAACTATAGGTGAAAGGATGGGAATACAAGTTCATATGTATTTTTGGAGAGCAGTGTTTCTTTAAAGTCTTAAAAATGCATGTTTTGGCCTCACAAGTTTGACACCAGCCTGGGCAACATAGCAAAACCCTATCGCCACAAAAAATGAAAAAAATTAGCCAGGAGTTGTGGCATGTGCAGGTAGTCCTAGCTACTTGGGAGGCTGAGGCGGAAGGACGACTTGAGCCAGGAGTTCAAAGCTGCAGTGAGCTATGATCGTCCCACTGCACTCCAGCATAGGTGACAGAGCAAGATCCTGTTTCTAAAAACAAACAAACAAAAAGTACATTTAAAAAAAAACAACTAAAGTTCCACCTCTAGTAATTTACCCTAAGGAAATAACGTAGCTTTAAGAATGTTCATTGAACATTTGTATACCTAAACCTGAATTGTACCCCACATCTTTAAAATAAAAAAATTAAAAGAAAAAAAAAAAGAATGCTCATTACAGTGTTGTTTATAGCATGAAAAATTGTAAAACAATTGAGGGCTCATTAAATAAACTATATACTTTCACCAATCGGATATATGCTAATTAAAATTATATTGTAGAAGAAAGATTCTCAAACAGCACTACTCCAGAAAATACGTGGTCACTTGCCAAGGAATATGTGAGGCACTCATAATTCATCTTCCTCAAGTAGAAATTTTATTGGTGATTTGGGAGTATGGCAGAAGCTATTAGTCACCTGTCACAACGTCCATTCTTCCTTTTTACCTCAGTAACAAAACCCTGATTTGTGAGGGGTGGGGGGAGTGGAAGGGAAAGAAGGGTGTTGCTGCTCCGAATAAGACCGCACACCCTCCGTTTGTCATGCGGCTAGGAGTGGTTTTAGGATTAAACACAAAGCAGTAACATATCAGTGAAGTGTTATGAAAGGCTTTCAGAGGCTACCTTGATGGAGCTGACCCAGTAGGGGTGAGTCATGAGATGAAGAAGTGGGCATTTGGCTACTTTATCTACTCTGTAAAAAGCTTCTGTGCAGTTAAACTAGTAAAAAAACGATTATGAAAGTTAAAGTGAATACCAAAAAAAGTGTACGTGTTTGGTTAATTCTAATTTGAGGAGACTAAGAGGAGGAGAAAAACAGGGACATGTGGAAGGAAGTCCATTGTTTTATTTCTGGGAGAGTCTTGGATAAGCAATGCTGATTTTCCTCTAGAATGAAGTCCAGTCTGAAAAGACTGGCGGGGCTCGTATGAACGGCTTTTGTAGAGATTCAGACTCCTTTTTTGTTTTTACTGTGCCTATGGTTATTTCCTTCTGCAGAATCCAAGATTCCCGCCGTCCTCCCCCTCCCCTTCTCAAATCTGCCAGGATCTAATATGCAGGGTTTCAGGATTTAGAAACGGTGCGAGTAGATTTCGGGCTACGCCTCTCTCTGACATCAGAAAAACTGCAGTTGCCGAAGTCTCGGGCAGAGCGGGTCCCACCATCAGTTTAGATTTGCCGGCAGAGCACCAGGGCCCGGGAACAGACCCCAACAGGACGCTGTCCGGGGACCAATCGCGAGAGTCAGGGACGCTGTTAGCCGGGGTCCCGCCCCTTTGCGAGCCAATAGCGCGGGGCAAGCGTAGGGGGTGTGGCCGGCCCGCAGGGCGTCGCGATTGGCCCGTCGGCTCCCGCTGCCTGCGCGGCGGCCCCGAGGACAACCCCGGGCGAGCGCGGAACTGCCAAGTGTGTCCGCTTCGGGGTACCGTAGTGGCTTCTGCCCCGGCGGAGCGGGCCAAGCTGAGTTGGGCCGGGCCGGGCTGGGCTGCTGGGGCCGGGCTCGGCCCGGAGGTAGTCCCTGATGGCTGCGGTGTTCCTGGTCACGCTCTATGAGTACTCGCCGCTTTTCTATATCGCGGTGGTCTTTACTTGCTTCATCGTGACCACCGGCCTGGTGCTGGGATGGTGAGTGTCCGGGGGGCGGGGGCGGACCGCCGGGGGCGGGAGGCACGGGGCTGGGCGCCGGAGGTCGTCGGGGAGTCGGGGTCCCCCCTTCTCGAGGCCCCGCTGCCTCCGGGAGGAGAGCAGGGCGGCCGCTGCCTTGCGCCCCTGCCCGGCCCCCATCCGCCCCGTCGCCGCGGGCATCCTGGGCCGGCCCGGGCGGGGGGTGGTGCCCACTTGGTCTCTCGGCGACGCGGCAGCCGGGAGGGGCCTGGGTTGGTGTCGGGGTTCGGGCCCCCGACTGGCTGAGCTTGGCCTCCGCTCTTCCGCGGGACACCAACAGCTGTCACCGTCCGAGAATGTCCTTGTCTCTACACGCATGTCACACTCTGGAAGCGGTCTTGGGTCGGGAGAAGTGTGCGGTCTTAATTTCAGACCTGGAGGGGGCCTTGGAAATAAGCCGCCCTGCGGGTGCGGGCAGCCTCCTGGGGAGAGCGGGCGAATGGATCGTTGGAGGAGCCACAGCAACCCGCCTGGAGGAGATGCCATCGTGTTGTGTTTAGACAGGCCCTGAGAGCAGCCCCAAGTCGAAACCGGGTTACTCGTCCTCCGTGGTCTTTCTAGGAGGCGGCCCACAAAGTCCCTTCGAGATGATGGTCGTCCTGAGTGGACAGGAGTCATGGTCTGACGAGGTCCCAGAGGACTCCCCTGGGGAGAGAGACATGGCCTGAATTTGGGGAACAAGTATTTTGAAAAATAAGTGGACTTCAATGTGTATTGCAGGGAAGAAAAGGCTTTTCAGAGCACACAGGAGCAGAGGAGCAGGGAAGGATGTTTTAGAGAATATGTCCAAACGAGTTAAAAATACCCTTTGGTCACATGTGTATATGTGATTACCTTAAAGAAAGGGCACAGGGCCTTGTCATTTTCTGAAATTGGATTCCATCTTTAGGAACTAACCAGAATTTGCTTTCTTTTCTTTCTTTTCTTTCTTTTTGAGTCGTGTTCTCACTCTTTCACCCAGGCTGGAGTGCAGTGGCACAGTCAGGACTCACTGCCGCCTCGACCTCTAGGGCTCTGGTGAGCCTTCCTCCTTAGCCTCCAGAGTAGCTAGGACTACAGACACACATCGTATCACCCTGCCCGGCTTACTTCCCTGGTGAGCCTTCCACCTTAGCCTCCAGAGTAGCTAGGACTACAGACACAACATCATATCACCCTGCCCGGCTTACTTTTTTGTTTTTATTTTTTTGTAGAGATAGGGTCTTACTATGTTGCCTAGGCTGATTGCGAACTCCTGGACTTGAGCAGACTTCCTGCCTCTGCCTCCCAAAGTGCTGGGATTACAGGTGTGAGCCACTGCACCCCGAAATTTTTTTTTTCAACATTTTAGCATTTCTACATTGCTCTCCACCATAAACTTCATTGTATGTGGATGGGGGAAGATGGAGACCGTTCTTACACAATTTGTTATTCTTGACCCATCAGAGTTTTTGTTGCTGTTGTTAATTTCAAGAATGCTTATGACTGTAATTAGGAAAGTGTTGCTCAAGTGAGAAAAGCAGTCTTTACACAGGATTTTTAAATAATGTTAGTGTTATCCTCTTAAAGAAAGGTTATTTTCCTCCACTATGGTAAATAGTAACTAATTGATAGTTGCATTATATGATCTAATTTTTATTTTAAGTAGGCCATATAAGTAGATATCCTAGATTCCTGTCTTTGGTATTAGGAATAGGAAAATGAGTGAAATTCATAGTGATCATGCTGGCATCTGTGGGTGAAGAGGTCAGGAGCCTCGTGTATGTCGCGGCTAAGAGACTTTGGAGTCAGACACACCTAGGTTCAGATCCTGGCTTTGCCATGTTTAAGACTTGATTTGAAAATTTAATAATTGCCTAATCACTCTGTTTGGAAACAACTTTTCAAGGGTGGAAGCCCACGTAATTGTAGAACTTTGGGAACTTTGAGCTAAGCAGTGCTGAGACCATAAGACCATGTAATTCCCAGTCAGTTCTATCCTGACTCAGGCCCACCCAGACATCTTGAGCCTAATCCAACCAGTTTCTCCATCTTAGCTTTGCCCATGTAGATAAACTTGTTATTTTTATTTTTTTATTTACTTACATATTTTTGAGTCAGTCTCACTCTGTTGCCCAGGCTGGAGTACAGTGGCATGCTCATGGCTCACTGCAGCCTTGACCTTCTGGGCTCATACAGTCCTCCTGCCTCAGCCTTCTGAGTAACCATTGCACCTGGCCATAGATCAACTTTTTATATGTTTATTTGCAAACTTAGCCAAGGCCACAGATTTACTGACCAGATATGAGGAAAACTTGCATACCATCTAGATCTCATAAAAACATCTTTCTAACAGTACCCCAGCCAGAAGAGTAAATAGTTAATCCACCATGCTTTTCACCCCTGTTATTTTGTTTTGTTTTGTTTTAACCTTCCAAAATACAGTGTCTACTGGCCATCTGTTCTCTTGCTGAGTTTTTTCCCATTGCTTCTTTCTACTCTTCTCCAGTCTGCCTGCCCCATGTGGGAGTAGAAAAAGAACAGGAGCATCTGATTATTGGAATCCCAATAGCAAAGAATTGTGCAACTGGAAGTATGGTAATTCTCTCTTTTAACTATGTGGTAGTTTCTGTGAGCTCTACTAACTTGTACCAGGCACTGTGCAGAAAGGAGCCCCAGAGACCATTTACAACCTTAAATAGTTTCAAATAATCAGGGACCCTGCCTCCTCTTGGCTACAAGTTAGTACGCTGTTGACCTCAGCTTCATGCCACCCTTATACACTCTGCTTTGTGAGTTTGGGGCAGAAGCCTAAACCACATTTTTCCTTTGGTAGCTGGCTGCCTATCAGCCTTTCCCCCCGGGAAGGGAGACTGGGTGGCTGGAAGAGGATGCAGGCACTTGTTGGTTCCGTCTCTTGCCTGTCTTGCCATCACAGCAGTGCCTCACTCTGGCATTGACAGTTGGTTCCACTTGTTCCAGTTTATGCTTTTCTGCTCTGCTAGAACCAGCCTTCTGTGTCCTCTGAAAGTTGCTAGTGTCTTTCTTCAGCTCTGATTCCCAGCTCCAGCAGGTCCCACCTTTTACATTTCTAAACTGTTCTAATTCTCGTTATTCTCTGTTCTCTCGTTCCTTGTCCTAGGAGTGACAGCTGCCTTGTGCTCTTACTACTTCATTTATACTCGGTGTCCTTTTTTTTTGTCTGTTTAGTTCTTCAACATCTGATTACTCTTTAAAAATTTTTTTGAATTGGGGTCTCGCTGTGTCACCCAGGCTGGAGTACAGTGGCATGATCATGGCTAACTGGTGTCTCAACCTTCTGGATTCAGGTGATCCTTCCACCTCAGCCTCCAAAGTGTGGGAGGCTGAGTCTACAGGTGTGCACTGCCAGCCTGGCTAATTTTTAAATACTTTTTGTGGAGATGAGGTCTCCCTATGTTGCCTAGGCTGGTTCGAACTCCTGCCTCAGCCTCCCAAAGTGATGGGATTATAGACGTGAGCCACCATGCCCAGCCTGGTTAACTTAAAAAAACAAAATTAAATTCTTTCTGTTAAAATGACTAGTGCCATTTGTGTTTCCTGACTGGATCCTGACTGCTAAAGATATAATTATTTAAGAATGGAATCCTAGGGGAGAAGCTTTCAAAGATAGGATTTGGGGGTTGGTTTGGTAATTTCTTCAGCTTCTTGTCAATGGGAAATAAGATTCTGGTAATCCATGACATGTAGTGACATCATAGTTAATCAAATCACTACCTTTGGCTGATTGTGATAAAATGATTTCTGAAGCAAGTGCCTTGGGTACCAAGTGGTTAAAGTACTTGACTCACGGCAGTAATGATGGTTACCAGAACTGGGAGGTGGGGGAGGGTGAGATGAGTGCTTCTGTATTCACTGGGGCACTAACTGACTGCTTGAGGTCCCTTGGCTGATGTTTATTTTTGTTGTCTTTTTCCTCTTTTTGTTTAATTTTAGGTACTTTCTATTGTGTTATCTTCAAGTTTACTAACCTTTTGTTCTGCAGTGTCTAATCTATTGTTAATCCTATCCAGTGTATTTTTAAAACATTGTATTTTTCATCTCTAGAAATTGATTTAGGCCTTTTCAATATCCTCCATGTCTGTATATAATATGTTCAATCTTTACTTTCCTTCTAAGCATATGGAATGTAGTTACAACTATTTTGATGTCCTTGTATAGATACTGATTCTAGTATCTGTATAATTTCTAGATCTATTTCAGTAGGTTAGTTTCTCTCCTCATTATGGGTACTTTTCTTTTATTCTTTGCATGCCTGTTAAATCTTTTATTGGATGTTGTAACATTGTGAATATTATCTTACTGGGTGCTGGGTATTTTTGTATCCCTGTAAATATTCCTGAGCTTTGTTCTGGGTCACAGTTAAGTTACTTGGAAACAGTTTGATCTGTTAGAGGCTTTTCAGTTTTGATAGACAGGACCAGAGCAGCTATATCCAACTATTCTATGAAATGAAATTTATCTAGAATGAAATTTTATTTTATTTGTTAATTTTACTGGCTATCAGCCAGGCTTGGTGGGTCAGCCTGTAATCCCGCGCCTTTGGGAGGCTGAGGTGAGTGGATTGCCTAAGCCCGAGGATTCGAGACCCGCCTGGGCAGCGAGACCTCATCTCTACAATAAATCAAAAA